CCAATCACCGAACGCGCACGGCCAGTCTCGACGTAAGGCCCTCTAGCTAGCCCTAGTAGGCAGACGAGAACAAGTCAGGATACAGGATACAGATCACGAGTCTCAGACTCGTGATCTGATTGGTTATTGAAACCTGATGGTGCCCGTTCATTTACAATGCACAGGGGCCTGCTCTGTTTAATCTGAAGGCCCCAAGCAACTTTAATTAACCTGGCAACACAAGCTAGATGAAATATGATTGGTTAAAAACTCTACCATAATAAATAAGTTATTTTTCGAGTGGCTTTCAATGTTATTTAAAATAACATTGAAAGCCACTCAACTAAGTGGAAATAATATGACGTAAAGAATACAGAGAATAATTTTGTTAACATATTTATGAAAATAAGATAACAAATTTATGTTCTTCTCAGAAAAGTAAATTTACTTTTCTGAGAATGTTTAGGCCAGCAGAGAAGGCCTTGCTGGCCCTCAGGGTCCGCCACTGAAAATACACCATTCCCTCTGTCCAATGTGTGTCCCAGTTACACAAGCACATCAAGTAACTGAACATACAACTGACAAATACGCAGACAATATTTAATGGACAAAACTTCCATTATTTTGTGCACAGATTTACTTGTTTGTTGCCTGTTAACCACATAACATCTGCGTTACATGAAATGACCAGCAGATGTCAGCACTACTCAATGAGCTATTAAATGGGGCCTCGATTGATCATCCTTTTGGCGAAGCAATTGGCCCAAATGACTCGATACATTCACGGGGCTTCATCCCGCCATCACTAATTATCGCTACCTTAAACAATTCATTTATCAGAATTGATTTTGACATGTTAATTTTATAGTGTGAAGCTGGATGTGTAAAGAAAGGCAGGGAGGTATCAAAAATGTTTTTTTTCCTCCAACTATCAACATGTTAAAATGATAAAGATGCTCGTTACTTGCCAAGTGAAGTTAGTGCTCATGACTTCCCTCCGAGACACGCATATTAGCTTGACCCAGGGTGCAGTAATATATGACAATTGAGAATTTCCCAGGGCAAGCAAGGCCCTTGGAAGTGCCTGTGTCACAATTAGCGAGAACTGTTGTTGTTTGATTAACCACCAGAGGCCGCCAAAGCATTTAAACGGCTTGGTGACATTTCGTTTTTACAACAAAAAAAAAACAGGCTGTAATGCCAATAGCAGCCGTTAGGGGGACAATGTTGAGCTAATCAGGGCAAAGGTCAAATCAGCTAAATTAAGTGGGTCAAAGGTCGCAGTCATTTTTATTGACAGTCATCTTGCTTGTTGGAAAATAATTTTATTTGTCACTTCAGCAACACAATTCCCACTTAATTATTCTTAGTATTCTAATTATTATTTTTGTTGTTATTATTGTTGTTTTTATTGTACTTATTTTTTTGTTAATATTATTTCATAACAAAACAAAGGTCAAAACTGTAATGATATGAGCAAATCGTATTTGCTTGTTAGACTAGTGATGCCTGTCCACAGCGCGCAGAGCATACACAGAGCATCCGCAGCCGTTCGGCATTCGTACGAGTCTACGACAGGGGTGGGCAAACTTTTTGGCTTAGGGGCCACATTGGTTTCTAAATTTGACAGGTGGGCCAGGGCAGCACAAGATACGGTACATATAAAAAAACTATGTATGTTGACAGTCCATACCAGTCCATTCTTTCCACTCACTCACTGTCTCGAACTTGACTTCCCCACGATCACCATACAAGACAGCGTTGCTCAGCTGATGTCGTGCAACGAACTTTTGAACCCAGCCATGGGACGCTTTGAAATCTTCGATGCCCATAGCGCGATGTAACTCGATTGCTCTCTTATTAGCAGTCCAGTTTGCGGAAAGTTTTTAGCACGATAACAGTCAAACCATTCCAGGAAACGTTTATTTACTCGACTGTGCGTCGAGCCGCAAGCAATTCACTCTGAGCATGGAAACAGCCAGAATCGGACTGAGCAGGAATCGCTTCCTCGTTTTTCAAAGTCTCGTAGATTTGAGTCTTTCAGACTCGAAGCATCTCCTGAATGTTTCGTACTTTGTAACCCGCTTCGTTGAATCAGATACACTTCAGTTTCTCTTCCGTGGCCATAACTGTTCCTCTTCGTTTGGATGCCATGATCTACAGGACGTAAAAATGTTCGCAATTCCAGTAAAACTCACTGCAAAAAAGAGTCACTTGCATGTCGCCGTTTTGGATCCGATGATAGAAAATAGCGGCGCGGGCACACTTATTCCGTCGTATCGAGCGGGAGTTACTTGCGTTAGCTCTACTGCGGGCTTCCGTATCGTCTCCCCCTCCCTCCCTGTGCTCTGCAACTTCTGCGCCACCTGTTGTTGAAATGCCTGTCATTACAAGTCCAAATGAAATGACCACAATCATTTACATCGAAACTTAAATGTGTACTGTACCAACCTTCGGCGGGCCGGATTAAAAAGACCAACGGGCCGGATCCGGCCCGCGGGCCGTAGTTTACCCACCACTGGTCTACGAGTTGTACACAGGGTGATTGCATTCCCCCTCCGACCACGACGGCAGTCCAAATAAAGAACTTCTACTCTTTCCAGAAGATATATTATTGAACGAACCCGCTCGCACAAAGCGACACATGGTGTCAGAATTGGTCTGGAAGAGTTGCCAAGAAAGTGAGTGCAAGGAACATTACATCGGAGAAACCAAACAAACACTCAAGGAAAGACTTTATCAACACAAATGGAAAAACAATGATAACAAAAGTGCAGTATACGCACACTTAAAAGAAACAAACCACACAATTGAAGATGAACAAGTAAAAATCCTAGGAACAGAAAAGAGATGGTTTGAAAGGGGAGTAAAGGAAGCGATTTTTGTTAAAAAATTTTCACCCTCTCTGAACCGTGAAGGAGGTATCAGATTTAACCTGTCTCCTATTTACAATAACTTGTTGACCACCAAGGGACATAGACATGCTGTTCAGGCTAACTGAAAGTAGCTATTCAGCCCTAGCCCAAACAATAGGCCTAATCAAGACCCAACGATAGGGAATTGAGAAATCAATGGGCCTTTTCACCATAGGGGCGTGACTAACCATCCCCACCCAGTCCTCAAATAGGCCACGCTCAGCTTTTTGGCACAGAGCAATTTCTCGGAGTCTTCATGGAGACTTCAGAGTTGTCTACCGCTGACGAAGCTTCTGTGAGAGAAGCGGAACGTCCTTTTTTGGTTTTTTTGGTTTTTGTTTTTTACCCACAGGTACAGATGACAACTGACGGAACCCCTTCTACGATGGAACTTTCCTGTACAACTGAGAGCCTCCACAAGCATATTGACTGAGTACAAAAAATAATGTGACTTTAATTTTAAGAAAACAACAGTTTTGATCAAGTAATGCTACTGATAAAAAGCAGACTGCAGTAATTAATTTCATTACATTTGTTAAAAGTAAAGATTTTATTTTATGAAAGGGAGATGTAATGATATGAGCAAATCATATTTGCTTGTTCAACTAGCGATGCCTGCCCACAGCGCACAGAGCATACACAGAGCATGCGCAGCCGTTCGGCAGTCGTACGAGAGTCTACGAGTTGTACACATGGTGAATGCTTTCTCCCTGCGACCACGACGGTAGTCCAAATAAAGAACCTCTACTCTTTCCAGAAGTTGTATTATTGAACGAACCCGCTCGCACGAAGCGACACAAGGGTCACGGGCATGCTGGACCCTATCGCAGCCGCTTTGGGTGGTAGGCGGGGTACATTCTGAACTGGTCACATCCCAACCGCAGTTCATGTTGAAAATGTAACCCAGGCTTGTTAAGACAGTTATTGTATTGCTATTTTCTGTTAATGTAATGTTTATGCCTGAGAGAGATACAGAGAACTTGTTGCACTTTTCCATGCGAGTCGAAGGAGAAACGGCTTTGCATCAACTAAAGGTGGTCCTTGATCCTCATTGACATTGACTTATTTGTTCTCTGACACTTTAGTAGAAGGGTGACACTGAGTTGCTGCACTTGTGGTGGCTGCAAAAACATTGGTACAGTGAAACTCTTCTAGAAGGAAACCTACATGGGCGAAAATACCCCCTAATGTGAAAAAAATGTTCATGCATTAACACCATTCCCATTCTCCTGCCCCCCATACGACGAACCCTCCTCCGCCTGTTGCGTTATACGAAATCATTTTCTCTGCTCGAGCCTCGCGAAGACGTTCACTACAACGAAGTCTAATCCAACAGCGACCTCTACTGCTTCGTTCGGAAACGGCAACAGCAACCACCACACTGGTTTACATAGTGAACGATGTCTATTTCGGTCACAGCTGCGAGTTTCCTGAACGCAACATACTCATAGCTGCTCGGCCATTGGCTTACCGAGCATCATCCTGGCGTCCGATTGACCAAGAGGGACCTCACTGTCTCTGTGTGTAGATACTGTCGCTAGATCCGTGGAAGATGGAGTGGAATGCATCCGATTAGCTGCTCAGAGTAAATTGCTTGTGGCTCGACGGACAGTCAAATAAACGAACGTTTCCTGGAATGCTTTACTTGTTGTCATGCTAAAAACCTTACGGTAACTGGAGCGCTAATTAGAGAGAAGGCGAGTTCCATCGCGCTAACTATGGCCATTGAGGACTATGAAGCGTCCCGTGGCTGGCTTTAAAAGTTCATTGCATGACATCAGCTCAGCAACGCAGTCTTGGGTGGCAATCGAGGGGAGGTCAAGTTCGAAACAGTGATATGGTGGAAAGAAAAGCCACCAGGTCCAGGAAGTACAGTGAAACTCCTCTACAACGAAATCATGTTTGCAGCAAGAAATTTTTCACAACAGGGGGTTTTTCACTGTAGCAAATTTGATCTCAGATGTAAGCACACACACACACACACACACACACACACACACACACACACACACACACACACACACATTTCATTGTATCAGTGGCGGATGCTGGTCTGTCAAGGGGGGGAAGCTCAATTTTGGCCGACATCATAAAATGTGTCCGTTTATATAAACGCGAATTTTACTCTCCGTTCCTTTTCAAGAAAATTTATCTGTAACCCTGTCATACCAACAAGGCGTCTTTTCCAGAAACGTGTCCTACAACTACAGCCCCTTGGTTCACCAGTTGCTTACCCAGCTTCTGCAAGTCAGTACTTGTCAATTCTGACAGCATTTCCGTTACTTCAAGTGCACTTGCAGCCATTCTTTCTCACAAAAGTCCTGAAGTCGAGTTGCCGTTTCCTCGGGAAGTTTGAGACCGCCGGGCTCGTTTGTTACTGCGGTCAAGCCAGCCTCCACTCGCAAAATTGAAGTCAAGTGAGCCGTCTTGCGATTGTCAACACTGTGCATTACGGTCATCTGCCGCCGGCGAGCGGCGTTGGCCACCCTCAAAATAGAAGCGGTTCAAATAATGCATGCACGACAGTGGTTTGGATTAAAAGAAATCAATTAAAATATAAAATAAGTATTTTGTGTTATTTTTTGTGTTGTGTTATTTTTGTTATTTTGACTTCAAGATGGCGCCGCGTGAGTGGCTGCCTTTACAGCAGCTCCTATATTTTGTTGTTCTACTTCTTCCATTCATAACTTTGCTGCTGTGAATTGGGAATTTCTCCATTGCGAGACTAATAAAGGTTTTCTTATCTTATCTTATCTTATCTTAAGTAATTTCTTGGCTGTCAGGTAACAATAATTTCACCCGGGAAGAATAAGAACTCTCAGAACAGTGCCAAGAAGCGTTCTCAAGTGGAGATAGAAAATAAAGTCAACAGTAATTCTACATGAATTTCACCTGATATTTTAAAAAATGAAGCTTAGTTATCCCTCAACCACAACAGATTGTCGACACACTAAGGCATCCTTGGTATCCAACCACAGTACTGGTATTCAGATCTGATGTTCGCTTTCAAAATAAAAGGCCTCTGAAATCTGACATTTTGACCTCCTTGCCTTATTTTAAAAAAATATTTAAAAAATTAATTTTAGGAATCCCTCAACCAGACCTGATCTGGGGGACACTACAGCACTCCAGGCATCCAACCAGATTACCCTCGCTCAGATCTGATGTCGCATTTTAAAATAAAAGGCCTGTGGAAATTGTCGAAACTCGAAGAAAGAGACAGTTTCTCACGTTCGCACCCCGAGAAAGTGTGTCGTGTTTTTTTTATTAGCACACGAAAAAAACTCTCGCGCCAAACGAAACCCGCCGAAAGTCAGTTTCCATAGAAACAAGCAGACTAACATGGCGGTCCTTAAAGGGACTGCAATTATATCTACCCCGTTACCAAATAATCGTGAACTCTCTGACAAGCATATGAAAACATTGCATTCACACGTTTGCAGTTGGTGGTGAATTATGTACATAGGAGTCACTACAGGCCTCTGAAAACTGACATGTTGACCTGAGTTCTGACATGTTGACCTGAACTCTTAACATGTTGATCTTTTCGCCCATTTTTAAAACATCTTAAAAGAAAGAATTTTAGTTATCCCTCAAACAAACAAGGTCTGGGGGACACTAGAGCACCCCAGGTATCCAACCAGACTAGCCCCATTCAGATCTGATGTCGCATTTAAAAAAAAAAAAACCTCTGAAAACTATTATCGTTGTTGTTGTTGTACTTATTTTTATTGTTAATATTATTTTATAACAAAACAAAGGTCAAAACCTGTTTTAACCCTACTTTTATGTTGTGGGTCAACATGACCCGTTGAGAAAAAAATGGATTAAACTTAGTCCACTGGCCTCTGGTTTTTTTTTGTTTTGTTTTTAATAGTAAAAAAAAAATTGCACTTGAAAACAATCTGAGAACCTTTTGAATCAAAAACCAGTTTTGACGACGTTGATTCAACACCATTATACACTATGGCTGAAATTAAATGCATTCTCTTTATTTATCGAGGAACATGGCTTTAGGCGCTGTTTATGTTTCTCCTGGCTGTGCAAATGACATCCTGAAGTCTGCGAGAGGCTGTGATGGTTGGCAGTGTTTCAACGAGAATGGAGCATGTCTGTGGAAGGCCACTCCTGTTTTGTCTCTTGTCGTCCTTCCTTCACCCTTTTCTTTTCATTCACCATAATGTCTTTCACTGGGAACTATGAGCTGGAGAGTCAAGAAAACTATGAAGAATTCCTCAAAGCAATTGGTATTGGTTTTCTTGTTCCATCAATCTCCAAATATCTGCAATATCGCACATGTCAACTTTGTTCACTGTCTGTATTTGGATTTTTTTTGCCAAAGGACTTCTCAGTGCCAAGACTGACAGCAAAGTCCAGACAGAAGTCCTTCAGGATGGAAATGACTTCACGTGGACTCAAACTACCCCCAACTGGACTTGGTCTAATAAATTCACCACCGGTCAGGAATGTGAGCTGTTGACAATGACGGGCTCCAAATTCAAGGTGAGTCGAGATCCTTTGCGGCAGGTCGGCGGTGAGCATGGGTGGAAGGAGCGGGGGTGGCTGCGGGAGTGCTGAAAAAAATCTATAAATTTCCATTTGGAGTTTTGATAACATTCATTTAAAGTTCCTTGTGTAAGAAGCGGGTTTATTGGTTCTTTACAGGCCCCCGTCAGTATGGAAGGTGGGAAGATTTCGGTACTATTTCCGCAGTACCTCTTCACAGCTGAGATGGTGAACGATAAGTTGGTCATGGTGAGTGTTATTGATCATCACACAGATTCAAGCATTGATACTAAAATCCCAGATTAGCCTGAAAGGGGACATATGATGGAAAAATTACGTTTTCATCTTTGTCTTGCTGTGTAGAAATAGTTTGGTCTCTCTTGTGCTTGCCATCCCATCAAACATGAAATGAAACCACCAAATAATTTGGGGATATGTGCCTATTTCTGAAAATGTGTGACTGTAAGCGCTGTTTGACTGTTACTGAGTTCTGCCCTGTTGTAAAACGAATTCACATAATTACGGTACCACCGCACCCGGTAGAAACCTGAAAATAGAAATTTACAACTTCATTTCGCTGATTTAAATGTTGATTGAAGATATCTGAAAAGGCGCGTGTAGATCTCTTGAGTTGAGGTGAATTAAAGATATCTTGAACGAGAATTGCGAAACAACATTGCAGAGATCGGAATATTTATCAACTGTGGGCCTGTAAAGTCCTTTGAGACTCTTTCGTGATTAGGGGCGAAATAAATATACTTGACTTGAGTCTGAATGTTGTAAGGCAGCATAAGAACACTTCCAGTGCTTTGCGTTCCTTCCTCCAGCTTCTCTGGTTATTCCAATGCCAATAATAAACAATTAAGTCAGTAAAGTCCCCGCTGAAGGCCCAGGAAGCCAACCGTAACCTGGATTGATCAAATCTATCCCATTCCTAAACTAATGTTGTCCACTCAACATGCTCCTGTTCTAGAAATGCATCACTCCGGGAGAGAAGGGTGTGACTTTCACAAGAGTGAGCAAGAGGACGTCTGACTGCAAGACCCAACACGCTTGAAAAGAACTGACGCTGTATTGAAGTTGCTGTTGCAAATGCTGGAATGGTACAAAACATCTGTTGACTTGAAATGACATTTCCGTGCAACTGACCCAAGGCTGCACCGCCAGCATTTGGGTTGAAGTCAATAAAAGGATCACTTGACTAATTTTTAACTCAGTGATTTTCCATTGAGCCATTAAAAAAAAAAAAAACACTTTAAGTACTGAAGTCCACGACAAAAATGTATCCACATTCCAAGAGCATGAAAAAAGTGCGATCTATCTATTTATAGGTCAGTCTGTTTGTCTATCCGTTTGTGTGTATGTGTGTGTGTGTGCGTGTGCGTGTGCGTGTGCGTGTGTGTGTGTGTGTGTGTGAGAGAGAGAGAGAGAGAGAGATGGAGTTTATATATATATATAGAGAGAGAGAGAGAGAGAGAGAGAGAGAGAGAGAGAGAGAGAGAGAGAGAGAGAGAGAGGTAGATAAATAAATCTACTGCATTAACATTAAACGTGGGAGATTTATGGCGACAGTGAGAAAACACACATACACCAAAAAAAGATGCAGACACGTGTCTTGGTATATTGTTCATTTTTTCAATCGTTATTTCAATTACATTTTTGAAATAGATTTTGATTACTGTGCTTGTCTCTTGCTCACCATCCTGTTGGTAATCCCATTCGGAATGGAATTAATCTGGAATAAAGAACAGCCAATCAAGTTCTGTCTTCACAGCAAAATTCTCGAGCGTAACGCGTGCATGCTCACCTCTGTGAGTTTGTCACCAGACACTTCAGCAGTGTAAACATATTTGGGGAACTGGATCTTGATTTTACCTCCTTCTAAACGGACAGTGGTCTAATGATGAAAGACAGCAAGTTAGGCGTAGGAGGGAAAAGAAATTATCCGGTCGAAAATGACATTTTTACCGTGAATGTTGTGCCGTCCAGATCTTCCAGTTCCGCCTCCCTGTTAAGCATGAACGTGTGGGTCACACTGTCACCGCCCATATATTTGGTAATGCTGTAGTAAGCGCCCTGGTAGATGTCCGTCACCATGTCTTCATTGGCAACTTCCACCTTTGACACCCCTGCACACAATATGACATCAATCAGTTACTTTCTTGGTGTGTGTTTTGGGTTTTCTTTTGGTGAGCCAGCATCACATGTTGCTTACCAATCGCTTCCAGGAACTCCTTGTAGTTCTCCTGGCTCTCCAGCACATATTTGCCGCTGAAAGGCATGATGAAGACGAACGTGAGCACACCGCTGACTGCGGTCCGCAAGCTTTCGGCTACCGTTTTTATACTCCACTCTCATGTTTTTCATTACCTTCATGCAAACCACTGGGTTGGTCCTTAACTGCTATAACCAAATACATGAAAATCGACCAGTCATCTGCAGGCACTTGTCCAGCTTCCAAAGCAAATTCTGTATTTTCCAAAGTCCTTTGCATTCTGAATGACAGGATAACATTGTGTTCTTTCCACCCTTAAGTTTCACAGTGTCAACTTGTCCCACAGTGTTATAAAATGTGATCAAGCGTGTCTATGATGAAACCCATCCAATTTTGTTGCCCGTGTTTTCATCATGGTCCAGGGTGGTCTATATGAAAAGCCCAGCGGACCCTGGGCTGCTCAAATAGCCATATTTCTCTGAGCTGCCTGGTCAGTGATGTGTGAGACGAACACATGGCCATACGGTATTAGATCTGTTAATCTGTAGATTAATATGCTGTGTATCATAGATACAAAATAAAACATCTATCGTATTGTTAGATTAGGCCTGATGTAATTAGTTGACTGGAGTTTGGGTGTTTTACTGCTGTGACCTTTCTTTTGATTTTCATTGGCTTTCTTCATCTATGGCACCCTTGGCACACATTTGAGTTGAATCTAGTGAAGCAGTCACACATCATCACGTGGACTTGGAAGACTCAATCGTCTGTGTGGGGGCAGCCAAGAGGGTATAAGAACGGGAATCATTCAAGAGGCGGTTAGACCTTCTTCCGCATCTGGCAGATGCGGAAGAAGGAAACACCCCACAGGGGTGTACTCGATCTTTCGGGCATTCATGAAATAGTTAAGCTGAGAATGTACAGTGTTGACTCACTTTTCGTGGGTGATACATTCCAAGCACCCCCGCAATAAGTGAATTTCCGTAAAGCAGATGTTGACCTATTTGTATTTATTTTTTTATCTTATTTAGGGGGAGATTTACGCCTCTATTAAACCAATACAGTCCAACCCCACCCCTACACACACACACACACACACACACACACACACACACACACAGCTCTCCCCTTTCTCAACACTTCATAAATGTAACTTAAAATGCAAAATAGAGAATAAATACCGAGCTCCTCCTGATTATAGGTGACAAAGTGTCTAATTTTCATGGTCTGGGTTTTTGAAAAACAACCCACCCAAGTTATTTTCTTTTCTCTTCTTTTTTTTTTTGAGGCGGGGTGGGGGGTCCGACTTAGAAGGAAGCAAAAGTAGGAAGAAAATATGCCAAAATAGCAAGGTAAAACTGGAACACAAATTATGGTCACACATTAAAATACGTGATAGCGTGAATCTGCAGTAAATGAACCGCAAAGTAGCATGGGATCACTGTACAGCCTCTTCTGGCAGTTAATGATACAGCGAGCATAAAGGACCTTCGAAAGTTCAGATCAGGACCTTACAATGTGGTGCCATGACATGGATTGTTCAGATCAGAACTTAACAGTTTGATGTAATGATTATCGTTTGTTCGTATAGTTTTTTTTTTCTTTTTTAGTTTATGGACAACTCTGCTACCTTGTGAACAGTCAGCCTATCCCAGCTGTCTTCGGGCAGTAGGCGGTGGACACCCTGAACCGGTTGCCAGCCAATCGCAGGGCGCACATAGACGAACAACCATCTGCGCTCACACTCACACCTAGGGACAATTTGGAGTCAGCCTGCCACGCATGTTTTTGGAATGTGGTAGAGACCCCACACAGGCACGGGGAGACCATGCAAACTCCATACAGGAAGGGCGGAGCCGGAATCAAACCCTCCACCTCTGCACTGTAAGGCTGACTTAACCAGTCGACCACCGGGTGCCCTGCTTATCACCCTGCTTATCACGAAGACATTAAAAATGGAAAGAAACAATAATGCCATTTTTCATTGATGGCCTTATCGGTAACAGCCAATCACAGCGTTACTGAAAATAAGGTTTGGTCGGCAGGCGTTCGGTTGGGGTGTTTGCATGCGACAGTTCTGCACATGTTGCTACGTTAATGGCATTGTGTAATGTTGCAAGACATGACATGCGTTTTGGATTTCTTGGACAACGCGTTCCTCTCGTGAAGTGACATAATCTTCGCAGGAGCGCTTCTACGAAGAGTTAAACACCCTAAAATCCCTAATAATTGTACGATCAGTCTAATATTTTCAGAGGTTGATGTGAGCATGAATTTAATAAGCCAATATACATTTTGGTGATTCTCGATCGCAGTTTTGGCACATTCGGTGACGTTTGGATTGCGACAGTACGGGGTTAGACTGTCATGTTGCATCACTGTACACCGAGTGAAAAGGGGCATACAGTACTGTATTACATTACATCGGCCACTAAAAAAAAGTTTAATACAAGATTCCATGGGACATATAAACACTATGGAAATCTAAAATGAAATATAAATATTATTTTCCTTTTTCTTTTCAATTCTGAAGCAGACAATTGTTAAACCGGATCAAATCACGTCAGCCCATCCGCCATATTATATGTGGCTTTAAAAATAGACATACATTTGGCAAATAATATCGTAAAATTGAGCTCGGACAATGCTTCTTAATTATCTATTAAATCCCGCCAAGCAAGAAGAAAACAATTCGCGCCTCCTCCCCACTCTCTGCCGCCACTATAAATGTCATTTTTCTCTAAAATTGTTGTAAGTACACCTCTGCATGACATTCTATCCTTATTAACATTAAAGAAAAGAAAAAAACGAAAGAGATATAGTTCAATTTACAGCAAATATTTGAGAAGGACTGATGTGTAGTTGTAGAATACAGTTATCGACATTTTAATGAACATGAAACATGCTGGTGGAATTCGAAGCCGCAACCGTTCTGTCACCGCATCAAACTTCAACAATAATTAACATCCTGACAACTGATATCTCAATGTTAGTCAAAGCAGTATTATTATGTTTTCTAAAGGAAGAATACATCGATACAGCTCTTGTATTGATTGTCAGGCGGCAATGGTCAAACATCAATGCAAAATCCACAGCTGCATTTACAAATTTATAACACTGAGAGGTGCTCTCGCTCTTTGGTGAGACACAACGGGACCATCGCGTTTCAGCAGGCCTTTATAATGGATACATACAATTCGATGAGAAAACTAATGGAGGAAATGTTATGACCTCCATGCGCTTATGTAAGCCATAAAATGTACGTGTGTTCGCTGTTGTAAAAGAAGAAAAAAATCCGAATTACTTATTTGAATCCCCTAAATTGACATTTTTATCTTTTTCCGCACTCTTGATGAGCAACATACATAGGTAGAGAGAGAGAGAATTGGAACAGGTATTCACTCCAAAGGCAGACAAACAAAATAATATCAAGGAGAACCATGTTGAATGCTTGTTTATTAGGTTTAAATGCAGTTTTGCAAGATCTTATTTCCAGATTACACTGCTTGTCTCTTGCTCACCATCTTGTTGGTAATCCCATTCGGAATGGAATTAATCTGGAATAAAGAACAGCCAATAAAGTTCTGTCTTCACAGCAAAATTCTCGAGTGTAACAGGCGTGCATGCTCACCTCTGTAAGTTTGTCACCAGACACCTCAGCAGTGTAAACATATTTGGGGAACTGGATCTTGATTTTACCTCCTTCTAAACGGACAGTGGTCTTGAATGTTGTGCCGTCCAGATCTTCCAGTTCCGCCTCCCTGTTAAGCATGAACGTGTGGGTCACACTGTCACCGCCCATATATTTGGTAATGCTGTAGTAAGCGCCCTGGTAGATGTCCGTCACCATGTCTTCATTGGCAACTTCCACCTTTGACACCCCTGCACACAATATGACATCAATCAGTTACTTTCTTGGTGTCTGTGTTGTTGTTGTTGTTTTAATGGAGCCAGCATCACATATTTCTTACCAATAGCTTCCAGGAACTCCTTGTAGTTCTCCTGGCTCTCCAACACATATTTGCCGTTGAAAGACATAATGAAGACGAGTGCGACTACACCGCTGACTGCGGTCCGCAAGCTTTCGGCTCCCGTTTTTATACTCCACTCTCATGTTTTTCATTACCTTCATGCAAACCACTGGGTTGGTCTTTAACTGCTATACCCAAATCCATGAAAATATTCAAAATACAGTTACATTAATTAGGTGCGTTCAGGCAGTTAGTCTCCTTCATTAGGCAAATTACTGACAAACTGGTTCCCTCACCTTCACACTCTACATCAGACTTGTTGCGAGGTCGGTGCCACGAACTTGAAAATAGTCAGCATTCAACCCAGCTTGATAACAAAGTTATTGATTAGAGAAGTGCATAAAGTGTTCATTACCAGGGGCGTTACTAGGTTTCAAGAACAAGGGGGGCTTAGCCCCAAGGGGAACACAGCCCCTTTAGGGGGGTCCGGGGGCATGCACCCCCGGGAGAATTTTTTTCTACATTCTGTTAAAAATCCATCAATTCCGTGCACTTTGAGAGCAAAATGAAGAGGCTATGAAGAACTACACACATCACATTAGTATCCTCTTTACTGTGATGGGGCTTCCTCCCCTGGACTTTAACTGGACTAGATAATAGAAATTATAAAGAGTTCGAAAGTTCAATCTTGGTTATTCAAGGGAATTAGAAGGATGCCCGATAACATAACCTATATGACAGTAGGCCTATATTCCTCTCTACCAAAATGTATTAATAAATGCTTCGCGCCCAGAAGACTATGTATTTTGAGATGCCTCCCGTGATATGCAATTTAAGTTAGTACAATGAGATGCAAAAGCTTCATCACTTTGGAAAAACACAAGTTTGCTGCTCAATACTTACTGTAAGCTCCGATTGCATTTTGGGAACAGCCTTGCAAGTAAAATTAGCCTTGAGATCTGAGAGACTCACCTGTCCAGCAGAGCTCACCCCCGGCTCACTCTCTGTGATTCTTTGGCCTGATTCCTTTCAAATAAATAAATGTATTTATTTTATATTTATTTATTTATTTTATATAGGCCAAAATCTCAATAGGTGTTGCCTCAAAGAGTTGGTGTAATGATTATTTATGTATTTAATAATAAAATGTTGCTTAATTTTTATTAAGCACCACCTTAATTTATCCAAAAGTGAACACTTGTTACAGTGCAGTTTCTGCTGTTACTGGAGATATTTTAGCGGACTATAGTCACTAGTTTTACCAGCATGGATGCATTGAATACTTAATTTACCTTTCTAAAAAACTGTCGAATATCCATGCTGTCGACTCAACCTGACTTTCGGCAATGAACTGTCAGTTGTTGCGTTAGCATTTGATGCGGCGATGGTGACAGACACGTCAAATACTAACGCAAACCTGGGAGATTTAACATTACAATAATGGCAGGTTATCGAAATATAATTTAAAATGGCCACATTACATTGAATTTGATGCAATATATTAGCAAAAGTACAGGAAAAATAAATAATACTTTTTTTTAAATAATGCAATGAAATTATTTAGGGGGGCTAAAGACATTTTTAGGGAGGCTGAAGCCTCCCTAAAATAGGCCTAATGACGCCCATGTTCATTACCATGATCGGTGTCTTCAACAAGATGAATAACTTTTTTTTTTTCAGAAGTGTAAATCAAACTGGTAGCCCTTCTCGTTCATCAGTAAAAAAGCTTTTTCAAAAGGTTGGTTACCCCTGTTCTAATGTGATCCAATACAAGAGCGGGATCAGCTGCATCAGTGTAAAAAAATCTCTCTCTCTCTATACTTCGTATAGATTATATCAAGGTGATACCTATTGATAGGTATGCATATACAGTACATGCATGCGCACGCACACACACACACACACACACACACACACACACACACACACACACACACACACACACACACACACACACACAAGCAAGCCCAACCTCGAAAGATAGACAGTCAGACACAACCCCAAACTCAGTTTTTAATGTTTATTTTTCCATGGCACATCATAATAATAAAAATACACCATTTTACAATTCAGTGTGACAAAGCAAAACTATGAGATGGTACATTAAAAAATAAAATACAATAAAAAAAAATAACGTAAAATATAACTTGGAAGTTTTTGGTGTGTCAGTGTAGTTCGGTGCGAGTCAAATCAGCACCACTCACAGAAGACAAATAAAACACGCAGTGATGCACTAATCTAGAGACAAAGGCTTCCAGTGACATCTCTCACTCAAAGGTGGTGGCTGCAATATGCAACATAGTCATTGTGTTTGGAGAGCCGACTGCTCTCTAGCGGAAAGGTGACAGTAAATCAGGTCACACAATTGTTCCAAATAACTTAGAAAAAGGAGTGAAGCAGTGGTGTTCAGACAGGAAAAAGCATATTGCACCTTTGTGGCAGGTTGATCAAGAAGTCACAAGGAATGAGCGCATTGAAATCTACATGGCACGAGATTCCCAAAAAGAAGTGAATGAAAAGAACCCTTTCGTAACTTGAGGAAATCACTCTTTAAACGTCAAGTCCATCGACAACAGCTGGGTCCAACGTATAAAACGGGTTTTGGAGCGAAAGACCGTTTGTGGTATCTCCTCTGAACACTGGCACACACAATCTGGATGTGTTTAAAATTAACAGGAAGTGGAAAACTGGGCACTTTACAAACGTGGAATGCAATTAGGCGCGACTGGATGCAGATGTTTGTGTTGCAAACGGCGACTGCCGGCACATTCTATAATGCATCATGTTTGGGAATTAAACATCTTTAGAGGGAATACAGTACACTTTCTGGCACCCCCCTACATTGCTGTGCTGGGTATGGGTTAAATGTTTTGGGGATTCAGTCGATCTGAAATGTTTTTTAGAAACACATGGCTGGTAAGTTCCCCAACCCTAACTTAAAGCATTATAGCGCGGGATGAGGGTGAGTTTTAGCCTGTATCCTGAGACTGTATGACAACAATGGTGATGTTCTAGGTTGGTATTAAAAAAAAAAAAAAAAAAGGGAACGATATCCAAACCCAAGTTTATAAATAAAAGCTATGGCATGTTCCAATGTAATATTCAAGTAATTTTGTTCAAGTCCCTGATACTTAAGTGGTTCATGTAAACATTATCAACACAGACCGACCCAGCAGTTCAATAGAAGGCAGCAGCAGCATTTTATATGTACAGTACACCACTTCCAGGTCTGCTTCCCCATGCTGGTCCAGTCACATCAAATCTTTGACACCGGCTTTAAAACTTGGTTCACCTTATGTGCGCTGCAAGGCACGCCTTTGGAAGCGATGAGGAGAGATTCTTGTAGGTTTTGACTTAGCGGGCCAGTGTGGGCTTTTTTTTAAGCTCCCAACCGCACCTGCTGTGCACCAAACAAGGAATTCTTCCGCCCCCTCAAGGACTAATGCGGTGAGGAATTCCCAGAGAGGCCCCTTCGGGCTTGACGCAGCCTACATGCGTTTAATCAGTGTTTGCTGACATGAAGAGCGCACGCATTTCCTTCACATGGCACGGACCAAAAACAGAAACGGCTCCGCAACGGTGGCCCCAGTAAATGTGTTTTCCCTCCCAAAAATGTGGTCATTTTGGCAGAATGAGTCTTCTAAAATCTATCTATCCATCTGTCTATAGATAGATATATATGTGTCTACAAAATCAAAATGGGAAAATATCCTTTTCACAGCTTTGTTGTTGTTGTTGGGTTTTTTTTTATTTATTTTTTTTGCACTTTTACAAAATTTGGCACTGCTTTCATCTCAGTCACACTCTGAGATGTCAGTCAGAGTCTGCGGAGAAATCAGTCATGTCAGAGTGATGACCTCCACTGGGTCTCTTTTGTCTTTGGACCGCTGCTTGCGTTTGAGATGTCTCTGTGAGAGGGGAGGGAGGGCGGGACGCGCCAAAGGTGTTGCCGTGCCGACGGAGAGAGAGGACAGATCCGCGAGAGGCAACGGGGACTGGAGCGCCGCAACGCTCTCCCTCTGCCGTTCTCCCTCCGTCTCCTGGCGTCACCTGTCGAAGCAGCCGGCCGCGAAAGTGTGATGGGCCCCCAGGTAACCCCCGGTGTAGGCCACGCTCAGGCAGTGGTGAGCTTCTCCGGCGAGGGCCATCTGAACGGATATGGGGCCCTGCAGCGGCAGCGCACGGGCCCCCGCCTGGAGGCCGGAGGGCAGACTTGAATAGGAAGGAAAGCCGCCCCCGGCGGCCAGGCAAGAAGCCCCGCTCAGGAGCCCGACCCGGTGGCTCTGAAAAAAGTCCTGAGACACGTTGACCACAGGCCCCAGAGCCTGAGCGTCGGCAAGCGTTTGCAGCTGAGACAGGGAGGGGGAATGTTGAGAGAGGTTTGGGAAGCGGTCCGGCTGAAAGAGCAGCTGCGGTGTGCTGGAGGTGGATGACGAAGACGGCGGTCTCTGAATGGCTGACACCGGAGAGAGGTGTGAAGTTTGGCCCTGAGATTGCAGAGAGGAAGCTCGGTGCGGAGGGGCGCATTTGGTTTTGTTGGCCTCTTTTACGTCGTTGTCGTGAGCACTGGGGAAAGCAAAGGCAGGTCTGTGTCAATATCTCGCTTCGGAGAAAACAAACGCGTTCGGTAGTTGACAATGTGTTCAGGATCGACTCCCACAAGCAGGTCCATCAAAGTGAGAACCAAGACTGAATGGAAAAGATTTCAATCTGGCAGTGTCCCTGTCCGTGCTTATGTTAGTTTTGCAAATGTCAAGTGTCGCTCCAGTTAGTTGTTATTATTATTCCTTCTTTAACTTTCATTTTTATTTTATTGCATTAATAACGTTATTTTCAATTTTAATTTTCCTAATTTCAATCATTTTCATTTCCGATAACAACCTCGGTGCGTGTTCGTGTGTCTTACAGCAGCATGAGTTCAATGCACTGGGTCAGGTGGTCCCAGGTGTAGCCGGTCAGTAGATGCAGCGCAGTTGTCCAGCTCGGGGAAATCTGGAGGCAAATACGCGACGCTGCCACGCATGCGGCAGCAACTTGGGAAGGCCGGAAACTCAGGAAAGTGTGATCTAAAAAAAAAAAAAAAAAAAAAAAATCAATCAATCAAACAAACAAGGTTGTGTCAGTTTTC